GCTGACTTCAAAATTGTTACAGTAGATTTGATTCCTATAAGAGCAGTACTAGGGGCACTCGCTTTTTGCACTCTCTGGCCAACACTTCCCCTCTCATTGGGCCACGTAAGCCTCTTTAAAAAAGCTTTCAGCGCAACCTCTCGAAACCAAAATAACGTGGCCCAATAAAAGAGAAAGTGTTGGCTGGAGAGTGCAGGAGGCGAGTGCCACTAGCATTGCTCTTCCTATAATGTAGGCTTTCTTTGTTGTCTGGCACCATTTTTTTTATATAAAATTATATAATTTTTTACGATCATTAATGTTATTATATAATTATTTTTATTTTAAATTTTATTTATTCATCTAATTATATGTGATAGTCACAAATTTATAATCATTTAACATTATAATTATAATGTTATTTTTTTATTTTAATAATATAATAAAAAATAATTATTTTTTATTTTTTATCGCATTCAACTCACATATTATGTTATTTAAATTTTAAATTTTTTATTTTCAGTGAAAAAAATAATCATTAATTTATTTAAATTCATTGATAATTATAATGTCATTATGATAAAAATATTTTAAACGGCATTGGGCTAATTTGTCGGATTAAACGACCCCACGTTTTTCGTCTCTCCCCTGCATGATGGTAATATATTGGTAAACATTTTTTTTTCTTTTCAATGCATGATATTCCAACCTGCTTTTAACCATTAAAAATAATTTTTTTTTTATAAAGAAAAAAACTATTTTCATGTTATTTAACAATCTCGTGGGTATTGTCATTCCCCGTGAGGATGGAAACGGGACGTGAATCCCAGTCTTCGAAATTGGGTGGGTGTGGTTATTTTTACTGGCCTTTTTGTTAAAACCATCCTTTTTTTAAAAAAAGTTATTAATTTTGATTGTAATTTAATTAATTTATAATTTTTTAAATAATTAATTATAATATTTAAAAATATTTATTTATAAATTAATTTTAATTTATTAAATAATAAATATTAATTATTTTTAGTAATCAAGATAATAATTTAATAATTTTAACAACCCTTAAAAAATAATAATAATAATGGTAGTAGTTATAACATGACCGAAGTTGATAGGTATGACTGTCGGGGTCTCTCACAGGCCCCATTCACATTGCATTTTTATTTCTTTCTTTACTTCTCCTCCTTAGAAAAAAAAAAAAAAAAACTTATATGCTAATTTATTTCAGGGTAGTAGAATTAATCAAAAAGGAAGTTAGGTAAACAAAATTTGAGAATATAAATTTTCAGGTAGATCTGTAAAAAATAGTGTAGGAATATAGACTTAAATACTCTTAAATAAACCAATATCATATAAAATTTATTAACAATATATTTAAGTGGAAAAAATTAAAAGAAAGAGGAATTGTAATAAATTTAAAAAAAATGCTTACCCTCTCATTCCTTTTAATTTTTTTAATAACCAAATAGAAAAATTTTTTTCTCTCATTCCCTTTTTTCAATCTAAATATACTATAAAAATACATATATTTAAATAATTTCATAGGTATTCATATGTTTTGAGAAACATTTTTCAAATAAAAATTTCACCTAATATTAGTTATAATTGGATTATACTTACCCACATATTTTGGCTTTTTTTTTTTTTTTGGTTGATGCACATGCATATCTTGGCTTTTAATCTAGTTTGATCATTGTAAATTTGCTTGTTAGTTTAAATAATTTAATAGTCAGGCCAAGTAATTGCTTTGCTTAATAAACTGAATTACCTGCTTGCTAAGACACAGATGCTTTTGAGCCAAGTTGGTCATCACTAGATGGGGTTTCAACCAGCAATTAAATTTTAGGTTTTTGTCGACATTGTACTTGATTAGTTTGTCCTATAGTCTATATATAGCTAGTGCTTTCAAATATATTAAATAATAAAAAAACATATATATTTTTTATTTATGATATAAATACATATGATATAAATACATATAAAGTAGGGAAAAGACTAGCTTAACTTATTTTATTTTTTCAATCCACCCATAAACCTTTTTTTAAGCCAATTTAGCCCCATAATATAATATTTGTAGTTAAAACCAAAAATCAACCGAAAAGATCATGTATTTCTTCTATCCATTAAAGTCTTACCCAGTCAAGTTTTTTAACCCAAATGGAAGTTGACATGACAATGCTGAACAAAAAAAGGAAAAAAAAAGCTTTATTCACTATTTCTACTTCGAAGCATCAATACTTTAAATCAACAATATTCATGTAAGTTGAGGAAATTGACTAGGCAAGGCATTTTATAGAGAGATTATTGTGATAATAATCATGTTTTGTTTTTCCTTTTAGTTGTGGTCTTAAGTGACAAGATCATACAGTACAAAAAGCTTAATTTGCCGTAAGATAAGTTTGTAGTCTAGATTGAAAACATAAAATAAGTTTAAGGACCGGCATGAGGTTATTCCCTCCAAAATTACAGTAGACAGAGGGATGCCTTTGTCTTCCACCTTCCGTCATTCTGACCCCAAAAAAATATGGAACAGATTTATATGATGACCCAAGGTATCACGTGAGCACGTGAGGAGAAACAGAAGGTGTACGGCCATGGAGGACAAGAGTAGGTAGCTGATAAATGCATGTTTTCCTGCTCGTCAGTCTGCAACAAATTCCCCACCACCTGTACGTCCGATGAGGGTTTCAACGAGGACGGAGCATGTGTCATGTCCGGTCCGAGGAGATTTCCGAGCTGGCGCATGAGCATAAAAACTCTGAGGACCGCCGGAAAATACTGAAATTTTGGGCTATATATGGACCAGTATGCCATATAGAACTCCTGCTAATGATATTTGGCAGCCGAGAAAATGATTGAAGGAGATAGAAGAGTGGAATATAATTTCTTGGAGAGTTGTCTCTCTCAAAAATAGATTAAAGGAAAAGAAAGAAAAAAACCCAAATATGCTCTGACGTATACTTCTTCCTTATCCTCTCTTGTTATCTTAGAAAAGAAAAATTGTGGGTGGAGAATACATGATAGAAAATTGTTTGGGGAATCATAGATATTAGAAAAGATGCAAACTTGAGACAAGTCATTGTCTAGACTGACATCAATATTAGGACTAATTTGGTCTCTATTAGGTGTCCTTATGTAGGATTAAGATAGGCAGGGTCAGCACCAAAGCAGATGTCAAAAATTGCAGAAAAAGATTGGTCGAGACCTAGACAATAACATCTAATTAATAACTCTGTAGATGTAATATATACACGTAGTTACAGAGAAAAGAACAAGGTAGCATTTCAAGTTTTCAACCCGTGTATAATAATCTATCGGAACAGATACATGTGGGCATGCATGTCCATCTGCTTGCAAATTACCTGTAAAAGAATTTGTCTGCATTTTCTTGCCTTTCAAGTTCATAAGGTAAACATGGGACCATTTGTATCACCTGTACCATGAAACGAAAGCATGGAGTATGACAGACCAACCTCATGAACAAATAAATATTTTGTAAATTACTGTCTAGAAGCAAAACAGACCTCAAAATGTTGAGAAGGTCCCAGATACAAGGACTGTTGAATGGTTTGAAATGAATGAAGTCTCACGAGTCTGGCAACAGTAAGAAAATAAAAGAATTTATATATATATATATATTTATCCTCTATTAATAAATAATTATAGGAAATTAGAATTCATAGCATGTCGGTTGTGGGTTTAGACTTTATCCCCTTATATTATCATTTAGATGGCATTTGAAACTTTTACTTACCAAACAAAATTTTATTTTTTAATTTAATTTATTTAACATTGAAAAAATATGTCTAAAATTTAAACAACTTTTGGTAACTAAAAGGTATTTTTTTACGGTAATTTTTTTTCTTTTTGTAAGGACACATGTTAGTATAAATTTCTTTAATAGAATTCATATTCTATATCCAATTTTATTATGTTCTAAAAGATTTTTGAATCTTAAAAAAAAAATGAGATGATGCCTCAAAACTTTTTAATCCTTGTATTTTCTTCTTATCTTTTTCTAACAGGGGCACCATTCGATTTTATGGATAAGCATCCAACATATTAGTACGTTTTATTTATTATAACAAAACTTACACCTGAATATTCACCCTTTTAAAATAAGGTTCCTGCATTATGAATTATAATTCAGTGCCTTGGAGACTACCCTCCTTTATAAGCAGATAGCAAGTCAAACCTAGCCATTCAGTGCCCAAAAAGAACTGCAGTGTTATGAACATTAAGTAAACAACAGAATTCTGGCATGTCTCAACAATACAGATATGCATAGCTTCTAAAATTTTTTGCAACCACTAATTGCAAAGATTACTAACAGAATTCACCCTTGGTCTGCCAAATTGTCATTTGCTGGCTGACTCCAACTCATTATTTTAGTTTTTCAAGGGATTACTAATTTTTGTTGTTCTGAGTTTATTTTACCCAAGGGGTTGGTTCCAAAAGGCCGTGGAAAGTATCTGCAGTGCATTTTTATGTAATGGCAGTGCTCAGATGATGCTAGAGAACCTAAAGTGAGATGGCATGATCCATGATGTATGCCTGCCTAAAGTTGAGGGGGGCTGTGTTTAGGAGTTAAGTTGCTGCATACTGCTTGCATGCTGATGAGGTTTATCTGGATCTTATTCTCAAAAGCTAGTATATTTGGATGGCTTGGGTTAAGGAGTGTTGTTTAAGTGTTTGTTCAAGCATAAAAGCGCTTTTTTTTTTTTTTTTGAAAAGCTCAAGCATAAAAGCTTTTGGTCTGTGAAAATTACGGGAGATGCTTCCTGGAGCTGAAGGAAGATTTTGAAGTCTAGATCCCAGGAAAGCTTTTATTAAACATTCAGTAGGCTCTAGTATTCCTATCTCCAGTTCCTGGTCACCTTTATTGTCTTGGTTATGAAGCAGTTTAGGCGTAAGGCCATTCTGAGCACACCTGTTAAAGTTATGTTATAATTTCTTCTTCTTTTTTTTCTTCTTTTTTTTTTTTTTTTTAATATAGCGGCTCATATTACAAAATTTACAGGGAAATGAGATGTGATATCAAGCATGATACAATCTCTGTGCAACAATCGCCCAACAGATCTCTTCAATGACTGTTATCTTGAACCTGAAAGTCTTGCAGCTGAAAGATAATTATCACTATTGCAGTCTGATGGTCCTGAGGAATTGGCCTCTTCACTGAAGGACTTGAAGAAACTCGAATAAAGGCGAGAACCCAGTGGAGAAGACATGGGGGGGTTTGGAACAGGGCAGAGACCTTCCAGCATCTGGACAACTTTGGTCATTGATGGCCTTAAACACACGTCTTCCTGTATGCACCACAATGCAACTTTGACAGCAGTGTAAACCCTCTCGTCGTTTTCATCTAGGTCAACCTGGAATCAAGAATCTCCCTCAGTTTCCCTTCTTCCATCATCTTGAAAGCATAGGATGGAAAATGCGATTTCTCTGAGTTTTCATTGGGGTCGTAATTTTTTCTGCCGGAAATGATCTCTAGCAACAGCATTCCATAGCTGTAGACATCAGTCTTCTCTGATATTGCGTAGTTTGTGATCCACTCGGGAGCAAGGTAGCCTCTGGTGCCCCTCAGAGTCGTGAAAACATGGCTTTGCTCGCGAGTCATTAGTTTTGCTAAACCAAAATCTGAGACTTTGGCAAGGAAATGATCATCTAGAAGCACATTTTCTGGCTTTATATCGCAGTGAATGATCTTGGCATCACAATCATCGTGAAGATAGACTAGCCCTTTCGCTGTTCCCAGTGCTATACTGAATCTTGTTTCCCAATCCAGCAGGAAATCTTCTGTGTTTCTCTTAAAAATCCATTTATCCAAAGATCCATTTGCCATGAACTCATAAACAAGAAGTCTATGGCTTCCTTCAGCACAGAAGCCTTTGAGCCTGACCAGGTGGAGGTGATGGATGCTGCCAATGATGCTAACTTCAGCTCGAAATTCTTTCTTCCCCTGACCAATACCTTCCAATTTCTTCACAGCAAGGCGTGTTCCATCTGGAAGAACTCCTTGGTAAACCGAGCCAAATCCTCCATGCCCAAGCCTAACAGAGAAGTTATTTGTTGCAGTTTGAAGATCTTTATAACTGAAGCGGATTAGCATCCCAGTTAAATTCTCCAAGAAATTATCCTCTTCTAAAATTTCTTCAGGAAATTCTGATACTTGTTTCTTTTTCTTGTAGTATCTAAATGCACCAAAGAGAAGGCCACAAATGACAAGAACTGTGCCAAGAACAATTATAATCACAGCATATGGGAAGCCTTTTCCCCTTCCTCCTCTACCTCCATCGTCTGTATAATTGCCTCCAGTTTTGTTAACCTTAACATATGAAGCAAAACCAGATCCCTGGCCTGAGCTTTGGAAGCTACCTATTTGATCAAACAGGAAACAGTTTCCTGAGCTCCTGTCGAAGAACATAGCAAGGCAGGAGCAATTAACAAGGCAAGATGCTTTGCAGCCCTTCAAATCAGATTTTAAAGAGGGTGAAACAAAGTCAAGTGCGAAATAATTAAGCCCATCTCCAACATCCACAAGAGCTACTGAATCCTTCTGCTGACCACAAGGAGAGGTAATACCTGTTCCACAATTGTTTGAACTAAGTGCAAAAGGACACTGGCACCTGGTGACACCAGAACAAATAGAATATGCACCACAAGGTTCCGGTGTACTACATGGATTGCCTGGTATTTTTGCTAATGAAGGGGCTGCTCCATCCTTGAGACTGTAGAAAGTGATAAAACCATCATTTCCTAAAACTGCAGCCCAAGTCAGATTTGCATCAGTATCAGCTGAGTACTTAAACTGCCATAGCAAGATTTTGTTCTTATCATAGAACCTCCATGAATTTGCACTAAAGGATGCTAAAGTTACACCTCCACCATTAGCATTAATTGTTCTTCGATTGTCCTGTCCCATAGACCAATAGGGCTGTAGAGATGAGAAACCTGCTGAGAGGATCATGTCGCCAGACTTGATCTCAAGAGTATAGCTCAAATTACTTGAGCTAGGATCGCTTACAAGTCTCATTCCTTCAACAAAATCTTGGTTTGATATAAGGGTGTCTGTAGGATAATGAAAACTCTGCCAAATTAGACTGCTATCATTTCCTCGCATAACCAAATTTCCTGAGTCCTGCAATTCTATGACAGAAACTCCTTTGTTACCAGTTTCCGTTGCCCAAACCACACTTCCCCCTTTCTTTAAGTAGGCATTGCCACTTAGATCAAACACAAAGTTGTCAAAATTTGCAACCGGAGAGCCTCGGTTCGCAGTCCAGATTACTTGTGAACTGCCTGTGTGGATGATAACAAGTAGAAACTCGGTGACATCTTGGGTAGTGATGAAGCCAAAGGCAAAGTTTGAGTTGTTGGATAAGAGAAACAACCCATTTCTATCAATATAACTCATTTGTGATGCTTGAAACCCTGGAGTCATCTTCCCAATTCTTTGATAGCTAGCAACACAGGTCTCAGACAGGAGGATACATAGTAAAATGAAGATGAACCCCACAAAATGAACATAACGCTGGTTGTCCATCACGATCCCATGAATCAACCGCAGAAGATCTAGATGTCACAAAGAGAAAGATTTCTTGAAGCTAAACCAAGGTGGATATACAAAGAAGAACTGATTTCCTAATTATACACAAAAACAACCGAGAATAATTTCATTTGACAATTCCCTTCAACCAAACAAACACCATAGCACCTATAACCCAAAATGTTAATACTTGATGAAACAAATTTGAAGACGTATTGAGCTAATCATGCCTTAATTCAACACACACAAGAAATATAGGGAGCCAAAGCATAAACTGCTTAATGGAAAAGAAGAAGATCTTGACACTTACATAGCTTCAAATGATGGTAGATAGCAGAATAACAGAAATTGAACGTGAAACTGACTAACTGGAAACACAATAAGCTCAAGAACTGAATTAGAGATCTTCCAGACTCCAGAACTACTCTCAGAGACAAAAATTGAGCACACTCCTGATCATATATAAGGATCCCAACAGAAGAAACATGATGGTTGGCCCTCAATTTTCCTAAAAATGGAAAAAAGAGGGTGCCATTCTGAATTGATGGGCACTGTACATTTCACCACGGAATTGAGAGTTGGATGCGGGAACAGTCAACACCCAACAAGTACATACCCAGCAATAAAAGATGATAGAAAAGGAGATATTATGAAAGCAACACGAAGAATGAGAGAGAAATGAAGCTCTCATCTCATTTTGCAGGAATAAATGGAATTGCAGAAGTGGGTTTCGTGGGTTTTTGCTTTTGCTTCCAATCTGTTACTGCTTGTGTCCCAAGATAAGATCTGAAGTCTGCCGCCATTTTATCTTTCCAACCTGTTTTACCTTTGAGGTTATAGAAGTGATAAATCATAAATCATAAATTTTATATAAAATTTTAATATATTAAATGATCATTAAATATTTTATAGTAAAATTTTTTAGAAAAAATGCCAAAACCTTCTAGCGAATGTGGATTGATGGATCCAATATAAAATTTTTAAAAGAACGAAACTCCATGGGACTCTGGAAGTCGTGAGTACCACAGCCACAGACACATGATTCAACTCTGTAAATTTTCTCAGGAAAATATAGAAGAAAAGAAAATGAAAAGCAAGTGAGAAAATTTGGACTGACCAAGTGACCATTGAAGCAGCCAAGCAGGTCAGCAACAAATTTAAACAGAAGTGAGGGAAGTAAGTCAAGGTTTTTGTCTGTCTGCAATCAAAGGACTCAGGGCAGTTCCAGCAAACTCGAACTGAGTGTAGGGCCTGAGCCGAACAGAGTTGCTCAGTTGAAGTTTCACTTTCCCGTCTTACGCTCAATCTATGTCTATGTGCCACAATATTCCAAATCAGGCAACTAAGAAAAAGGCCAAAAAAAGAAAAAAAAGAAAAAAAGGACAACAGGGGGGGACGACAGCATTGAAGCCTAGTTCATAATCTTTTTTTATAGAGATAATCATCTCTTTTTTTTATTTTATTTTATGTGTATGCCATGCAATTCAAAATCAGAATCTCTTATTTTCAATGAAAAGAAATGATCACTGAAATATTTAAATCATTCATTATAATCTTGTATTTTAGTGGGTAAGCAACAACATCTTTATTCATAAATCTTCAATTTCCTTTTATGTATATCATATTATTACTTAGCTAATCTGTACAAATTAAATATATACTATAAATTACTTATGTACTTTACATACCGAATCAGTTGACTATTTGTTTTATCAAAATTCTTGAATAGTGAGGAGTACATGACAAGTGCGATAGCAATTTCGAAGGGGATTAATTATTCTTCAGTAAATTAGTAATTAATACCTTCTTAACAATACTTTTTTGGTATTTTAATTGTAATTGTAATTTTATATTTTTAAAAGTATTTAAAATAAATATTAAATATATCTTATATATTTTTAGATATTAAAATACCAAAAATCTTACAATTACAATTATATAGCAACATTATCAAGTTAAGCCTTAGTTGGATTACAATGGCAACAACTTAAATGATTTAATGTTAATTTTTATTTTAATAAAAATAAAAAAAATTTTAAGTTTGATCAATTTATATGAGATGCAAATACATAAAATTTGTAAAGAGAGAGAAGAGTTGACCAATTGTGCGGCACAATATATATAATATAAAATAAAGTTAGATTTTTAATATTTGTCATGTGATGTAAACTTTACCTTTCTAATTAAATTAAATAATTTATTGTGCCATGCATGATGCCATCAGAGCAAAACTAGCATAAGATGACCAACTTAATATATGTAGAAAGAAACGCTTTCTTAATTTATTTTAGTGGATGCCTAGTCTAACAAATTAATTTTATATTAAATTAACTATTTTTCTTTCGCTTTCTTTTGAGGTTAAATATCATTTTTGATCCCTTTACTATAAGAAAAAGTCTTTTTTTTGTCCTTATACCGAAAAAATCTCCCTTTTTAGTCTTTCCATTAAATTTTGGCTGATGTGACAGGTTAATTAACGAAAAAACTCATTTTGTTTTTTTACTAAATTACGTGAAAAATCCACTTAGCAAAAATTGATGATATGGTTAAATTTTTTACTTTTAATTATTGATTTACCCTCAAAAATTGATGACATGGTTAAATTTTTTAGTTTTAATTACTGATTTACCCTCATCTTCTTCCCCATCCTCTCCTTCCTCCAGCCTTTTTTTTTTCTTTTCTTTTTTTTCTTTTACCTCGAGGCAAACCCAAAAGTTTGGGTTCACAAAGAACCCAGCTTGCGGGTTTGCACCCAGAAGCCTGGGTTCGCGAGGAACCCAACTAGTGGGTTCGCGACGAACCCAGCTCTTGGGTTCTCAACGAACCCACCTCCTGGGTTCACTCCGTCCGTGAAATCTCCAGGGCTTTCCTAGCCACTATAGTTTTGTTTTTTTATCTTCTTTGTCTGAAAATGGGTTTGATTTGCTTCGCCTATGAGAATTTGATATGGCAAATGAAGTAAGATTTTGATATGCATAAACCTTGAGAGTGATGTTGATGGGAAAAATATTGTAGACCCAAATCCAGTTGATGATGGTTGATGTTTTGAAAATTTTTACCTTAAAGGACTGTTGACAGAGGGTTTCTTTTGGATCCCTTCTTTGGGTGGACCAACTACTATTGCTGCTCGACAAAGTGGAACAGACAAAGTGGAGCAGCCATTTCTTGGCTTATTCCATTTGTGGTAACAAACTTGCTTCCTAGACTTTTGAGTCCGAAAAATTGAGTTCCTGCTCCAATGTATGGTCAAATTTTAAAGCTGTTTCTCTTAATGGAATTCCTATCATGCTCTAATCAGTGATAATATGCTGAACTTTTTGTGATCTAGTCACTATGTGTTTTACAAATTTCCTTCGAAGTTACCTTCGTGAAGCACAATTTTGGCAAAAAGATGGGTAGATCTATTATTCCTTAAAATAATTTGCCTTGCAATTTTTAGATGTTTAGATGCCAAATTTTATGTTAATATTTCATTTGGGGTTGACTGAAAAACCAAATATCACTCTCTTCTTTCTACCATAGGCCTTTGTCGTGAACCCATGAGCTGGGTTTGCTTGGAGGTAAAAGAAAAAAAAAAAGTTGAGGAAGGAGAGGATGAGGAAGAAGATTGGGGTAAATTGGTAATTAAAGGTAAAAATTTAATCATGTCATCAATTTTTGTTAGATGGATTTTACACATAATTTAGTAAAAAAAAAAAGGTTTTTTCGTTAATTAACCTGCCACATTAGTCAAAATTTAACGAAAGGATTAAAAATGGACCGAATTTTAAAATTTAGGAACCAAAAAAGGATTTTTTCGATACAGGGATAAAAAATGAGTTTTTTCTTATAGTAAAGGGACCAAAAAGAGTATTTAACTTTCTTTTGATGAAAGGAACCTTTTCTTTATTACTATTTGGGGCTTGGGGAGAGAGAGAGAGAGGGGGAATATGGATCACCCATTTCCTGGGTATTGTCAAATGTCAATAACCTATTTAATTTAAGGCTCTTTTTTTTTTCTTTTTTTTTTGGTATAAAACAGATTTCAAATCCATTTAAAAGCCCACAAGAAAAAGTTTAATCACCTAAATACAACTGTTCATGAGTGCTACTCATGAGTCAAATTATTGATTCTATTATCTAAAGAAGGATTTTTTTTCTTAATTTTTAATCACATAATAAGTGGTGATTTTTTTCTTATTTTTAATACATTTTACTCGTACATCTTGTATTTTGAATTGAAAATTTTTTTTAACAAAAAAATTACTATTAAATTATTTAAAATATTGATTATCTAAAGTAGGATTTTAGTAATTAAAAACGTAGCCAAAACCAAATCAACCTCAATTCTAGATAGGGATTTTGGGGGTGAGAACCTTAATTAACCTTAACAATAAACTACTGTAGTAAATACATTGCTATAATGCTAAAACCAAGACATGGAGTGGTGGAAAAAGTTGGACAAGATCCTTATCTTTTGATAATTTTCTCTGAAATCAAGGAAAACAGAAAGTCCATTCATTCATGAAATCAAGGAGGTTTTTTGTTTTTTGTTTTTTTGTTTTTTTAAAATTGGCAATCAAAATCGAGGAGTATTCATCTGCTCTCGCCTTCTAACCCGGAATGATTTACCTTCTATCCCTGTCCCTTAGGATTCAACATATCTATGGTTATTTTATTTTATTTTATTTTTTGGCCGTATATATATGGTTCTTTTTTTTTATGAAATTACATTAAAAAGAATGAAGTCCTTTTTATCCTTGAATAGTTAAACTTATGCTCTTAAGAGCATTTTTTTATTAT